TTGCATACTAATTCCCTGGAAACTTCCAAATATGCAATCTTGAATATCACATATATCATGCTGCCTCCCTTTTGGTATACTTTTCTTGGTTTAAGAAAACATGTTTGCTAAGCCAAGAAGAAACTAAACATGTCCCAAAATCAGTGTTCCTAATGAAAGATTCTTATTAGCATAGATATGCATTGAATTTGGTTTGTCTGAGTTGGCAGCTCTTTCATCTTTTGCTAGAAAGATTCTTATTGAAAGATTTGATGCTCTCATGCAGATAAAACTATTTCAGTCTTTCTGGGTGCAATAACTTTCCAAATGAAATGACTCTATTTCTTTCAGACATCTTCTTTCAGATGTCTGAAAGAAATAGAGTATCACAGATTGTTCCACTTAATATGAATAAGGTGCAGCATATCACTTTTATGGCAATGTTGAGTGATGATATTCCAGGTACCTCCCATTGTGATACTAAGGACAATACATAATCATAAACCCATAATATGTCCATATTTATATTCCTTTTATATTCTGTTCTTAATTGTTAAGAATCCCAGGGCAGTCATAATGTATAACAACCATAATTATAAAATACAGGAAAAACACACAATAATTGGTAATATACACTGCCCTTAACCATTTCATCATAATATATAGCTCAAATAACTGATGAAATGTTGTCTAGAATTTTTTTTAGTCTGATGTAGAAAAGCAGTGAACATTGGAGGAAAACATTCAGAAAAACAGATTCTGCATCTCAGAAACCTCACAGAATTATTCTCAACTTATTGTTCATCTTGGATCTAATTAATAGGCCTTGCTCACTGTTTCAAGCCACAGAAGGAATACCATGCTTTCTCTTTATTTCTAAATACTCTGGGCAAAAATTCCATTATAAAATTCAACAATCCCAAAACATTTCTGAATACGTCTGAAATACTATACATAATTGACTTTGAATAAGCTCCATTGGACATATTTAGTATTAATAAAGCATCTTAAACGAGTTCAAATATGACATTAGGTTCCTGTTAGAAATTTAAAATCACAACAAAGCATTGTGATCAAAATTAATAATGCAAATCACAGACTTTTTTAATGCAGAGGAAAAAGGCACCTAATTTTTACTTAATTATTTTCCAAATTCTGTAAGCTTTTCTCTACCAATTTAAAACAAATAATAATAATAATACATTTTGAAAATTTTATTTACTCACTAGGCTAAAACAGGACAGTTTAGTAATTGTTGTCCAGGTCCAAAAATATCCCAAAGCCTAATTTCTACTCAGCTAATTATTTAGTGATTGATTAATGTTGCAGCAGCCTCTTTTGCTAGGATATATATATTTTTAAACATTAATGAGCAGGTGCAGGTATATGACCAGGCCTCTCCATGGGCTCAGCCTTGTGCATTGGCACACGGATTTCATTTCACAGCTTCAGAGAAGCTGAAGATATGACCTTATCATTGCCATTTGTCACACATTTTTTATGCTCTTTTATCCTACTGTAGTCTTGTCTCCCACCCTCTTGTACTGGAGTGATAGCCAAGAACAAAGCTCAATGTCAGTCTTCAATAAGCAGAGGTGAAATCCCATAGGGAAAATCACAAATGCATTAAAGACATTGACAGTCTAAGCACTCTCAGCTGTGCAAGAATTATGGTGCTTGAGAAAGAGGACTGGGCATTATTGTCAATACATCTATTTGTTCATCTTAGCTTTATATTTAGATTGCAGATCTTTTTGTTTGAAATCCAAAATTTCAAACAAAATGCATGTGATATATATACATATTTCTAAGGTGATTATACATTGAATTATGAAACTCCCAACAGCAAATTTTCCCACAATTATTTTACATAGATAAAATAATGGATTTCAGTTTGTTTGTTATAGAAGATATAATTTGAAAATTAAACAAAGAAATGAGAAAAAGCTACAGTCTATAAATAAATAAGGACACAAACAAGAAAAGACTATAATTCTATAAACATTTTCAGTGTAGGAAGTTCCACTGAATTTAATGGACTTTATTATTAAATTTAGAAAACTCACTTCATGTTTTTATTCGATACATATCTAATCAAAATTTGATAGTTCTGGTATGCAGAGTGAAGATTATTCTTTAATAAATGTTCACAGGATTGCAGTTAATTATTCCATTTGCTATTATCTACATTCAGTTGAGAACCAAATGATGTTAAAACCAAACCCTATTATTTGCCCTCTTGCCAAATAACATGTTGCTGCCTAAAAAGCAGTTAGTGATAGAGAGTCCTGGTGAAATGATATCCCTCTGGCAACGAAGAGTCAGAAGTGACCAAATGAGACTGAAGTTATTGTTACATGTGTAAGCCTCTTGCAAGCCTCGCCCAGATTTTGCAATGTGTAGTAAATGTTTTGTGTGGTACAATGTTAAGTCTCATAGGAACATAAGATACTTTATTCTGAGCCAAACCATTGGTCAATCCAGCCAGGCAGAGTCAACATAAGCAGCAATGGCTCTTTACATTTTCAAGAAGTCATTTTCTGGAGCTGGAAGACTTCAGAATAACAATTTGCAAAGAGAATTCAATGTTTTTCCACCGAACTGTGGTTACTCATAACTAAAAGTAGCTTTGGGAAAAGTTATTTTATTTTATGAAGCAACAGTGAATTTGCTTTTCAGTGCATAGGTACAACGTGTGTAAAGTACACACAAAGTGTGTGCACTTTAGTGAAAATGAAATAGTATGTGCAAAAGATCTCTAATCCAAGCTCTTTCTGCATCTAGAACTCTGTTGAAAAATAGAATGATTGAAGTAAAACAGTAATTTAAGTAAGATACAATTTCAAATTAGAGTATTAGGCTCATAGTTGAAGATAGATAGGATGATACAATGCTATCACTTTTTCATCAAAAGTTTTGCAACAGTTTAATAAGTGCTTTGCCATGATGCTTTTAAATATATAATCTGATTTTTCATTTCATTCAGCTTCAATGTGGTATGATGTAAAGTTATCATCTGCAGTAACTTAAGCAAATTTTATTTACCCAAATATCAGAATGTAAAGATAAATTAGTTGCTCTAGGAGGTAATGGTTTTATTTGTTTTTAGCTTTAATATAATACAGAATAGTCATACTATAAGAAGGACATTGTTTCAAAATGAATGATAATGATATAATGGCAATGTGGTATTTTGTCTCTTGATCGTGCTATCATTTCTAATCTATCAATACAAAAATTTTCTATCTAGCCATTCATCCAGATGGTTGACGTTATATATGATTGCATGAAAGCTCTGATATAAAATGCCTATGGCTTACTGGATTACTCTGTGGCCACATGTTTTAAATTATTATTTAAGAAAAAAAAGAACCATTGCAATCTTGCAACAAAGGAACAAGACTTTATTGTATAACAAGGTTGCAGATGTGGAAAGGTGCTCACAACAAAGTCAAAATATTTTTTTCTTTCTGCATCTGGAATGCCAAAAGAACCTCTGAAGTCACTAATGCTAGACAGTCTTTAGTTTGTGATTAATTTAATATTCTGGAGGAAAAAAGAATCTTTTTTCAAAATTCTGTGCCATTCATCATCATATTGTCATTTATATAATACCCAAATGATTTACAAGTCAAGTTTTTTTTTTAAAAAAATTCTAAAACAATATTAAGACATCAAAGAGTTTCTGATGCAAACATCAAAGAGGCAGTCCAAATCAGAGATTTCTGGCTAAGACAGTTTAGTTCATTTAATATCCTCTGTTTTTTTCAGGCTTAAGTTACAGCATATAAAATTCTTGGAATCTGGTTAAGGAAGCAGTGCTTTTATATTTATTGTTTTTAGCAGTACAGTTCTTTTATGAGGAAATATATTTTACAGTGCAAGTAATGATTTTTTTAAAAAATCAGATTGAAAACTGGGTTCTTTTGGAGATGTAATTACAGAGTTATGATAGAATGTATTCAGTGGTGTGATAAGTAAAGATGGAGAAAACGTCTGGTTTAACTTTTTTAAAGATGACGTTACAATGAGGTTGTATTTTTTTGGTCTTAAATTTTTCATGTTTTGAACTTTAAGCTTTGCAATTCCTCGCCCTTCTCCACACATGAACAAAAAGAAAAGGTCTGCACATCACTTTTAGAAGTATACAAAAGAGCATATAAATATCAAGACAAATACATTCACAAATTTATGTCTTCTCATTTGTCTCCCACTCCCTTCTCTTCGCTGATTTTTAGCTGATCAATAGGCTATAGGAACTTGAATGCTGGAAAATAGAAATCTAAATGTAAGTATATTTGGGCAGATTTAACCACCCTAGTGTTTATAGAGGAATTAAATAAATGTTTACAAGATAATATTCAACAGCAAATATTAAAATCAAAACCAACATTTTTAAAGCATGAATACTGAAATCCATACAATCAGTAAACTTTTTCATTTCATATATCCTGGGATATTTAGTTTGTGAAAGAAGTTGATGGATTATTGTATTGTTTGGAAGTGGGAAAGCCAATATGATGCTCTCCAGATAGTATTCTATCAGCTCCAGCCACAATTATTGGCAAAACATTTGGGGGCGGGAAACTGGATAACCTGGTTTTAATTTGCTAGAGAATTCAGGAGTCCAAGGACTTTGAATTCATTTAATATGGCAGTTGAAGTTGTCAGATGCCTCATATGAGTGAAAAATATCAAAAAAGATCCAAATTTTCAAACCTGATGTTATCATTGGGAGAACATGTCTTGTTGAGAGTTGGAGGAATGTCAGGTAAATCATTTTGATGCTAAATTCACATACAAAGCTAGTGAAAAGTGTTATAGCTATTTGATCTACACAAGATGGGAGAATATTACATACCACTCTAAGAGATGTTTTATATCAGTTAAAAATTATTTGCTGAGGGATTTTATCTCCTGATTTAAATGACTATGCTATTCTTATGGAATATATTAATATCATCTCTAGGTTGCTTTCAGTGTGCATTATAGTTTCAGTACTGATAGTCTGTGTTCTTTAGGATAATAAATTCTGCTAATTTCCGTGGGGAATATCAGGAAGGGCAAATTCATTCCTTAATAGGTATGATGATCTAAGAAACCTTCAGTTCCAATGCTGTATTCTAGGATTAATACTAGAAAGTTTTATGCTTCCTGCTATAAACTTCCTTGCAATAGAAGGCAGCTAACCAATCAACCCCGGAACTAAACTGTAATGGTTGTGAAAATAGAACAACTTGTTTATATTACATATTTTTAATATACTTTTGGATAACAATTTAAATATGACTTAATAAAAAGAACTATCTTTTTGAGAGGGTTTTTTCCCCTACAAGCTGGTATTTTCTGCATGTATTGGACTATAAATTCTAACATTCCCATACAGCTTGGCCAGTGCTGTAGAACTTTGGGATTTGCAACATGTATCAGATAGCAAACCTTATCTTCCCGCTTATGCTTTCATTACAACAATAGAAAGGTGATTGTCCCTGTACTAATGCATCTACTGGATGGTAAGTCTCACATTGCAATATGAATGTGGTTTGTTTTCCTCTTCTCAAAGTCATTACAAATTCACTCTATTCACAGCAAATAACACACTTAACATAACTTAAGGACTGTCTTTCAGATCATGTAATTTGAGTAAAGAGTTTATTATGTCACTGACACAACTGATGCCATAAGGAAGCTTTATCGCTGCTTTCTCCTTCTATTATCTAGTTGTCTCAAAGTCTCTGTTGGGATTGCTGTGGCCTCATTATTTGTTATACCTTAGTTTGGGACATGAGTTTAAGGATTCCCCTGACAATAGCCTGTTGCATTACCATCAGTCTGCAAGACTTTTCATCTGGTAAATGTATTTATGTGAGCTCACTCTGATCCTATAAATCTTAGGCTTCATACCACAAGAAACTAACAAGCATTTAAAACTGTTTGCCACGACAATTATGTCATTATTCAGAAAGAGATAAACATCATTTTGGAGACATTGACAGAAAAAATATTGATAAAAGTATGGAGAAAGACCACAATACAATAGTGTTGCAAGAAAATATGAAGCCTTAAAAAAAAAAAAACTTTAGTCAAGGAAGCAATTTTAAACTGCACAACTTACAGAATAGATTTATAGCAATTTCAAGCTATTGGAAGATGAGGATGGTATTTTTCACATTTTTTGGTTATTACAAAGTGGTACAAAATTTTCTTATTAAAAATTCTTCATTAAAGAAAAAGAGGTTATACAGAGAAAGAGGCAATATTAATTGTCTTCATCCTAATTTAAGAACAATTATGATAAAAGAGAATATTTGCAGTGCAGGATAGAACTATGGGGTCGTTGGTGTTCTCTAACAATGGTTGTTTTCTAGCAGGTGTTTTACTTATCAAATTAAGCAACATAATCCATGATAGGAGGGAATGGAGTCTTCTCTCTATTTATATAATAGTTGTTTTCCTGCCAGTATTGGTGGATCCTCAAATAGGCTACTGTTTATTGTTAGCTTGTCTGAATCCCTTGATTGAAGTATTGTTTGCTGCTTGATCTTGATCTAGTATTGATCTAGTTGATCTAGTATTAATCTTGGTCTTAATCTCTGCTTATCTGTTTGCTGGTAATTTTGTTTCCTTTTTGGCTTTTTGAGTGCCTTTTTTGAATGGTATGTTGATATTGTTTCTTTCCATGTGCCTGCTGATAGTTGATTTGTCTGAGTGCCAGGCTTCCAGGAATTCTGTAGTAATTTTTGAACTTAGCTTGGTCTATGATGCTCACAATTTTTCATCTGAAACTATGATTTAGTCTGTTTATGTGTTATAAAATTAAGAAGTTTTCATCATGTCTTCTGACTGGCATTCATAGATGTACTCTTCTAGTCTTCTGCCTGTTTGTCCCAAGATAAGATAAGATGATTAGATAACTTTTATTGTAACATTTCTGTGTACACAATGGCATATATTAAAATTAAATTCTGATGTCCGCTGTCAAAATAAAGTATTTTATGTCCAGATAGACTGAAGAGAAAGGAAATTGTTTTGTTAGCTTTCCAATGGTTATACTTATGCTTATATAAAAAGAGAAGCTGATATATTACACTGAAAATTTTTATTTGATTCTCTTACTTTATTATATGGGCATATCTGATGTGTTATAAAAAAGCAGGCTATTAAAACCAGACAATTAACTTTCATACAATGCATAATAATAATCTGTTAGAAAGTGTGATACCAAAGTCTTAAAATAAATCACCTATATGAAAGACAATATTTAGTTAGATGGGGGACAGTTTAAAAAAAACAAATTTAAGTAAATATGGCAGAGTTTTGAAGGATTTTCCCTCATATTGTGGATTTATTGACATTGTATTTTATTATTTGATTTTAGATTAATTAAATCTAGACAAAGAGTTCACATATTTCTTTTATTTCTCCTAATGTTATTTACCAATGTTCTGTGATTTGGCAGTAGTATAATCCCTTGGGATTTATACCATCCTAAATAAATAAAATAAATTAATCTACTTCCAAAATTAAATATAAGTACATATATATTTACACATAACAAACAATGAAAATCAAGAATTTGGTTCAATGAAAATCAAGAATTTGGAAAATCAACCATTCTTTTTGTTTCATGCAGTGCAACATTATAGCTGTAAATAGTCATTCTGGAATACAATTAATGTGAAATGAATATACTTCTCTTTGTCTTCATAGGACTATCTTGCATTATAATTTTAGTAGTGAATGTTTTGATCATTTTTGTGTATTTTTGTTATTTACAGCATGCTTCAGTAACACATAGGAAAAAATTTTTTTCTTAGAATTCGATTTTTTTTACTTTTTAAAGCATTTCTATAGCGCTTGCCATTAAAATAAATCTCAATATGGTTAAAAATTAAAAATATATTTACAACTAAAATAATAGGTTGAAGTGTGTAATGAAAACATACATTAAGACATTGTATATACTGCACAAGTATAGGATTTAAAAACAGAAAGATAAACACTAAAATAATAATAGAAAATAAAAGAATCTTCTACAATATGCAAAACTAAATGGCAAACAGCTGGTTTATTAAAATTCCAAAGATGTAGGAGAATCTTTGTTTTTTGTTTTGTTTTGATTACTGCACTTCTTTTAACAGAGAGGTAAAGTCTCTGTGTGGATTTTTTTTTAATGCTCATGCTTTTAATTTTGGCAATTAATTAAAAGGAAGAAAAGTAAAATTTCAGCAGTGCACCCATCCAGAGCAATCTATCCAGTTGCCATACTACTTGTCATTTGCTTAGTTTTCTTACTTTTTTTAGTGGCATGAAAAAGAAATTAGTTGGACTAAATAATATAAAACATTTTTTGTCATTTTATTACTTTGAAATGTCAGCATGTAAGCACTGAGAAAGAAATTTCAAATTTTTATAAAGTACAACAAGCTAGGTTCCTTTTTTTGTCTATATTTGTTGCAGCATAGTATTTTTTACAACCTCCAATATTATTTAAATAAACTTATTTAGACACTTAATATATAGTAGTAAGTTGTAGTTAACTAAAAATGTTAACACACCAGATTTATAACCAGCAATTGTAATATATATTGCAAATAAGAAAAATGAATACAATTTTAGATCTTATCCTTTATTTAAGTATTGTATATCTTTTGAATAATATTTGAATAATCCAACTAATCTTCATTGTCAGAAAAAAAATGACAGTATGCTTCCACATTTAAAAGATCATTCATTGCTTGCCACAAAAAAATAGTGCCTATCATACCATGTTAAGTTTATTATCATTTTATTTTAATAAAAAAACTCTGGCATTGCTAGTTTTCCTTCATTCTCCTGCCTTTTAAAAATGACTAAAGCTATTGTCCCTTGCTCTTTACATATTTATATACAGTTTTTAATATTGTTCAGTTCATCTTCTTGAAATGAAATTAATCTTTTAAATACACAAATTCTGCCTAAAAAACTATAAAGAACCACATTTTCCTAGCAGTAGAAACAGCTTTTCTTTTCTCTCTCTCTCTCTTTTTTTTGCTTTTCTTTTTTCTTTTCATATTACAATCCCCCATCCCTTTTCACTGGAAGAAGGAACAAAAAATTGAACAGATCTTGGCTAACTCAAATGCCCGGATGGTTTGTTAAATTACATCAATATATCTAAGACCTCCAGTCATTTTTCAAAGATTAAGTTTCTTGTGGCTTTCTGTAGTTTTTGCAAACATTGCTTAATTAGTATAATTTAGATAAACAGAACTGAATACATGACTTGATGACATTCGTATATTTCCTATCATGATCTGGCTGCTGCTAGTTGGTATGGCAAAGTCCTCTCTTCCCAAAATCATGTTTAGTTTTCAACCTAATCATGTCAATGCAAACTTTAAATTCTTAGTTACAGTTGCTTAGAAAGGCGCTCACTCCTCACCCCTGGTTCCATAGCTGGCTACTTTAGTTTTACTTATTTTCTTAACAGAAAGGGAAACACAATGCTTACATTCCAGGCATTACTATGGTGACAGCAAGAAACTGCAGCTGTAGACCTGAAGCGAAAAACCTGAGGTAATGTTGGGCCCTGGAGACTCGGTAAATATTAACTGTGTCGAAGAAAGCTAAGAAGAGTAGCCAAAAATATACTCCCTCAATATTGATGAGTCAGTTTCTTCAGGGGCTAAAAAGAAAACACTATCTTGAGATTAACTCTGACTTTTCTGTGATTTTTATGGGTGTTTCACAATTTGACAATCTGGCAGTTCTTTTCTTGTGTGCCAGTATTTTAATATTTGGCTTCAGTGCTGGCTTTCTTTCTTTCTTTTTTGCTGAAGTCTAATCTTTCAGATTTCTTTTCAGAGCCAAAAGAATAATAACTGAGAGACCCTAAATGTTGGGACTTGATTGTGCTCAACACAGATCCTGTTACCAAATGTACAACTTAGTAGAGTGCAAACACTTTCCAAAGCAGATCTCTACGATATGAATATTTAACCTTGCCATCATATAGGCTAGAAAGATCCTAAACTGCTAGTTGTTGTGGTTCACCGGCAGCCGGTGCAGCCGGCAGTGGAATCTGACAGTGGGAAGAATGGGACTAGTCAGGGAATCTGGAGAGGACTCAGACGAGGGTCCTGCCTCCGATGCAGAAATGGAGCTAGGACCATCTGGGAATGGGGTACTGACTCCTGAGCCTCCGGAGTTTGGCAGCAGCGAGGCCGAGGAACAAGGGGAGCCTGTTCCCAGTGCGCGTGTGCGCAGAGCTGCTAGAAGAACAAGAGTAGCTGAGACAAAAGGGGCAACTCGGGAGTAAGGCTTGGAGGTGATTGCCCTTCCCATAAGGTATAAAGGACAGGCAAAGGTGAAGAAACCTTCATAGGAAGCAAAGTAGTTAATTCTGTTCGGATTAATCCTTGAAGCTCTGTGTGGACTTTGTACTTCGGTTGGTTTTTTATAATTCATTTGGCACTCTAGTTGTTGGCAGCAATTCAAAGGAAAGAAAGGTGGGTGCTTATCTTGAAGGAACTGTTTGGGACTCATTACCGGCTGGGAATGAAAATAATTCCCAGCATTGAAATAAAACAAAAATTGTTTTAACTAAGCGTGTGCTTAATTACATTCTTGGGAAGCCTTGGTCAGAACATTAGCCAAGATGGTGCCCTGTCCTCCTGGCTTCCTTACAAGGGCAGAATCCAACTGGCCTGGCCATTGTGAATTAATTCTAAGTAAGGAGAAGGAGACACATTCAATTTGAGACATGAGGCAGAAGTTTCATATTAAGTATGCAGGCAATCTTTAATGGGTCACAAGTGATTTTATCTCAACCCCCAACATCCATCTGAAACCACAATTTCAGCCTGCCTAACCATAGAGCTGGTTCTACATTTTAGTTACTACTTCATGTTAACAGGACCATATAAAGTGCCATTAATTGATCATTCAGTTATCACGATACAAGCAAAGTAAAGCATAACAGCCACTAAAGAGCAAACTCTTTACCTGTATCTCCAAATGCGCAGGTCTGGCAGAATGAAAAAAATGCTCCCTTCTTCCTGCGGAAATCTTGTGTCAGAACTTCACCTAAGGAACAGAAATAAGTATGTCCTTAGAAATTCTATTTCCTAGATTTGGAAATATCTTTCATTCTCATTTTTTTATAATTAATCTTGAAACTTTTGTCTTGAAATTTTTGTCAGTTTTGAAACTTGAAAAATGGTTTTAGATTAGATCATTTTCATCAGCAAGGAAAGGTGCAATGATTTTTCTATGCTCTCATTGCTATTATTCACTCTCTAGAGGAAATGTAATTTCTTTTAAGTAAAAGATCTTTTACTTAAAATCTTTTTAAGATCTTACTTAAGATCTTTTACTATATGAGAAAAGTTGGTATATGTGTGAAAGGAATGTAAGAATGTGGATGGGAGATGCAGATTTCAGTTTATATGCATGAAAAAACTAAGTCATAGGATTTTTATGCAAGGACATGTACATACATATGTAGGTGAATAAATGTGTGTGTGTGTGAATAGGTGCAAATATACATTTCATGCTCATACATACATTTCCTCATATATAATTACATAAGCCCCATGGATGTAAGGAAATATTTGTATGTAGCATGTATATTTACCTATTATCTAGTTATCTGATGAGTATTATGCACATGTAAGGTAGACCAGTATATATGAGTTTGAGATATATGTTTGTATAAGCACATCTTTGCATGTACATGAACCTGGTCATGTATTCATTCTGTCAGACCAATGCATTAATTGTTTCCTGTATTTCCAGTCTGATCAATATAATTCTGAAAAAGTCACACCCTTCAGAAGAAGTTAATACGCCATAATAAAAATAATGGATCATTGGCTGCTAGAGCATAAAAGAGCAGATGGTAGAATAATGCTGTTGCCAGTATTTGGAGACTAGGTATAAGAGTCTATTAAGGTCTGCATCTGCCGAGCACAGGGCTGTCAAAATCCTGGCCTGTGGGCCGGATGTGTCACATGCTGGCCATGCCCATGCCAGTTTAGCGTGGAGGGGGAAAGTTCTGATATGTCACATGACACCACCATGATGACATGTTTGACACCCCTGATTTAGCAGAATGAGCACTCTTCAAATATAAACCAGATCAAGCTTATCTAAGAACTAGCTAGTAGTCAGACCCTTTCATCTATCAGTATTGGTGCAAAGGAAAGACTAAAATGTAACAGAATTGTGGAGTAATCAACTGTGAACAGTTTGTAGAAGCAAAGGCAAATCTCTTATTAGCCCAACTATGATGTTAAACAAAGAGTTAAAAAAAAGATGGAACTAATACTATCTTGCCACCTAAATGCCTGTTCCTCAAATTGCTACCCCCACTATCGACTGCCTTAGACTGTTAGTTTAGTCAACAGCCCTAATGGTAGGGCTGGCTCTGGAAGAGTATGTTGCCTTGGATTCCCCATCCCACATCAAATAACGGAGTACTTTAAAATTTTTCTTTTTATCATAATGGTGTTTTCTTTATATTGAACTGTCACTGGTATTTTGTGAAGGATAATTTCATATTCTGCCTACAGTCATTCTCTCTTACCCATTCCACATTCATGTACTTTGAGGCATGCAGGCAGTAAATGTTCTTGCAGTTATTTTTTTTTTAAATGGCCTTCATTATAAAGTGCTGCAAAATGTGCTTAAATTCCCTATAGGATTGGCATGGCTCTCATTATAGAATGTTACAGTTTTGTTGATATTGCACAGTAACCTCTCGTTCACCTCTTTGCAACACACTCACACTATACTTAGCATGCAGTTATATTTTCCACTCTAACCCAGTCTTTACTTTCATAATAATGAGGCTGGGAAATGCTGTATTAACATGGTCCCCTCCCCCTACTCTCTCACACACAAGTAACTCCTTCAGAGCCAGCTTTTTCTGTGTGCTATGGACCACCAGGTCTTTTTCTTAATGAATTTCCACACTGTTGTAATGAAACACCTCCATTCAGACAGTGGGAGTTTGAGCAATGTGCTTACACAAGTTTCCTCTTCCCAACTAGGCAACACCATCCATCATGATGATTCTCTGTGTATTTTCAGATATTCTTAGTGAGGCACAAGATTGTTACATATGGCCCAACGTCACTTGGCAAGTGTCTTTTCTGGAACAAATCCTTCATTTGCTTTGTGGATTGATTTAAACGCAATCTATTTCAGTGCTACAAAATGTTCTTCCTATTTAGTGCTCTTTATTATGTCCCTTCACTATTTTTTAGAATTTATTTTTATACTATTGAAAAATCTACATAACTTGCCATTTGTAACTTTTGGTCCACAAAAACTTCATACATTGCAACATTACATCTTTCTTTAACATGTCACATTTCTATGCTTAATCCAACTGTATATCCCATACAATCCTATTCCTAATACATATTGTGGTTCAATGTGTGGTTTCCAAAGCACAATTTTCAGAAATGTGTGTTTGTGAAGAATATTTTGTTATTTGTCATATTTATTTATATATATATTATTTTTTAATCAAATTGATATACCATCCATTTCACTATTTCAGTCACTCTATATTCCTCTTTCTTCCAACTTTAGGGTGATGATCATAGTAGTACAACTTATTTTTCCACAAAAATCCATGTTTTTCTTTTATAGACCATATAAACCAATTGGCTCTTAGGATTCATATAAAAATTTTTTTTTGACTGATCCTTCTTATGACTTTTATTTCATCATTATTTCTCTCTCTGGCCTTTTGATATGACCAAGAAGTTTAACAGAACAATTTTTTTGTTTGTTTAAACCTGTCACCCACTAAAAACAGCTTAGATCAACTGGCAGCACAGACTAAAATGCAGTAATAATAAAAATTATGAAACAAATCAGGCATCATTAAATAAAATATAAACTGAGGACAGAGCCGGTTTTGAAGGTTTTCCAAATTCCCAGGAGAGAGGATCCCCATTCTTATCTCTGTAGATATGCTGTTTCAGAAAGGGGGTGGAACAACAGAAAAAGGCACGCCCTCTAGGACTCACAGCATTTAATGATGGGTAACTGAAGCACAGGAGGGATGAGGTAGTTCAGTGGCTAAGACGCTGAGCTTGTCAATCAGAAAGGTCAGCAGTTCGGTGGTTCAAATCCCTAGCTCTGTGCAACAGAGTGAGCTCCCGTTACTTGTCCCAGCTTCTGCCAACCTAACAGTTCAAAAGCATGTAAAAATGCAAGTCGAAAATTAGGGACCACTTTGATGGGAAGGTAACAGTGTTCTGTGCGCCTTCAGCATTTAGTCATGCCAGCCACATGACCACGGAGACGTTTCGGACAGCGCTGGCTCTTCGTCTTTGTAATGGAGATGAACACTGCTGGAAACATCTAGCACATATGTGTGAGGGGAACCTTTACCTTTACCTTTTAACTGAAGCACATCCATTTTGCTGGAATGGACTGGCTGGTCAGAAACAAATAGACACAAGTGATCTGTCAGGTATCCCATTTCTATGCCACATAGAGCATTATAGATAATAACCAGCACCAGAATTACATTTGGAAGCCAACTGGCAGCTAATGCAGCTTGCACAACAGGGTTGACAAATAGGCACATTGGGAAGCACCTATTGATGCAATGATGCATTTTGCACGAGCTGTAACTTCTGAGTGGTCTTCAAGGACAGCCCCAAGTAGAATGTATTGCAATAATCTAATTATGAGGTGTGCAGGGCACAAATGACTGTCTAAAGGGCCTCCTGAACAAGAAAATAACATAATACATGGAATATGTAACAATATAATTGTTAATGGTATATTCAAATTTAAATATGCAATAATCAGTAGCAATTGAACAGGCTTAAATTTACCACTCCAACTGATTCTGTCATATCCCCAAGCAGTTGTGATTGTAAGACAGATTTAAAAAATTCTTTGACAACAGATTTTAGGGTATTCTATCTGAAGAGTTTACTAACATATTAGACAATTTCTTGGCTGTTGTGTCATCCCATATTTCTGCCCCAGGAACTTAATTATCAGTCACTTTAATTTATATGGAAGATTTTCTTGGGCTTATGCACTTTTGTGTGTTTGTGTGTCTGTCTCTCTTTTCCTTTGTATAATTTACTATATATGTGAAAAATTAAAGCAATACCCAGCAAATCACATTTAAAAAATTCCTTGTTGACCTATTGCCTTTATAAATATCTTGTAAATCTATCTATGACATGAATTCTACAATAGTATAATAGCTAAAGCCTTTGCTTTTTAAGTAGAAAGTTGTTGATTTGAAACCCAGTTTAAAAAATATTTTTGTAATTACTATTATTTTTAGTTTTCCCAAGCTTCTTATGTTTAGCTGTGCTTTTTAAAAATAAGTTAAAAGGTGTCTTTTAAGTACAAGAAAAAGAAAAGAAAAACTTGGTCAGCCAACTTTTATTTGTAAGCAAAAGTTTCAACCATTATGTTTTTATAGCATTCAAATTAATAAAGCTTTGAAAAGTATTAGATACTATGGTAAACATTGCACATCATCACACAAGTGAAAATTTTCACGTAATCTTTCTATTCAGTGTAGCAGAGGTGGTATTCAGCAGATTCTGATCAATTCTGGACAATGGGTAGCGGAAATTTTGAATAGTTCAGAGAACCGGCAAATACCACCTCTGACTGGAGATTTTACAGTATCCTTCCCCTTCCATGCCCACCAAGCCACGCCCACAGGACCAGTAGTAAAAAAAATTGAATCCCACCACTGCAGTGCAGGTTTTGAATGCTCAGTTGAGAAGACATTCCCACTCTGTAAAAAAACCAGTGAGCTGCTGGGTTAATCTCGAGCAACTGAAATCACAAACAGAAATGCTCAGAGAGACAAAACATGGAAAAGTAGAGTTGAAGAACTTATCATCAGGATGCTTTAAGGGTGAGTACAGATTAACAAAATACGATATCATCTCTTTCTCCCTCATATATCAGTGCCACCTGTTTGATAGCAGAATACCTAGCCTTGAGAATAAACCCTGGGTATTTGTTACTTTATTCAAATGTTTTTTTGTGCAAATATGTCTGTGAATGTCCTTCTGTAAGGCTTG